TTTAACAAGGTCCTCAGGTGATTCATGTGCACACTGAAGTTTGAGAAGCACTTCCTTAGGGGATGCTCCAGGAGAGGCAGATACTGGAGAAATCGAGGGATGTGCCAAGATGCACCAAGAAGAGGTCCTTTCCCTCCCTCCTTGAGCTTCTTTCCTCCCATGTTTAGGAGTTAAAACAGCGCCCACCACCCCTTCTCTGCTGGCACTTACTTTACCCCTCAGCGAGGTGTAGGAGGAAGATTTCAGACAGGCCCTGGAGCTAAAAAGACTTAGCAGCCCTATGGCCCTGGGCAAATTAAACTCTCTGAGTCTCAGTTTCCCCATCTGTAAAATAGGCCTCCATTACCCTCCTTCTGATATGTGAGAGGATTGAAACAGTTCATGTATACAAAGGATTCTCCATGTACAGAGTACCAAGAAAGCAGTAGCTGCTTTCACAGGCTGCTGGAGAGGTCATCCGGGGTAGCAGCGGAGCTGCAGGCCTTTCCCGCATCGTGGCAGCATCTGCCTTGCTTGTGAGGGGCCGGCTCCATGGGCTGTGGGCTCAGTTGTGGCTGCTGTAGTTCTGACGCTGGAAACATTCCCCAACCTTGCTGTATCTGATTAGTGCTGTTGAGTTTTGCTGAAAATGATGGGCTTGTTTACACTGGCACTCAGTTCATACTGGCCCTCAGCTTACTATTATGGCCAGGCTACTGGAACCCAGGGGGCCTCTGCTTTACACCAGAGCCAGCCTGGAGAAGTTGCTTGCAGATGATACTCTTGGACACCAAACCTTCATTTCAGTGCCCCACGGAGTTTGCTACTTAGAGGCCTGGGTTTTCGGTGAAGGGCTTGCTTGAGGGAGCCCACCTTCCAGTTGGAGCTGTGAGATTGTTTTCAGGATGGAGAGACCCCAAGCTTCCCACTCACATGCACCTCTGCTCACGGCAGCCTTGCGAGAGATTCTCACGTCTAGGGAAGGGTGAACACGTGGCAGGCCAAGTGGAGAGTGGATGAGGGGTCAGAAGAGGGCATCCAGCATCCTTGGAGAAAGTCTGTATCAACTTTTGAGAGATGGGGACACTGCCTCACTTAGCAAGGAGCTTCCCAAAGGCCAAGCAAAGGTGTGTTTCATTTCCCCTAAGCTTCACATAACAGGCTTAAAATTGTAGAAGCCTGGTGCCACTGAATAGGACATTTCTCAGTTCCAGAGCATAGGGTGTTCTTCAGTGAGCTATTCAGGTTCACTCATCTTGAGATCCTGATAGCATGGCCCAGGAATAGCAGTTGAGTTTCAACTTGAATGTCAAAGTCCATCTGCTGGTAGCAGCTGGAACATTATGTTGAGAAGGATTCTTGGGTCATTAGGAGTAAGCACCATGATAGATATTATTATGTTGGCCATTGTGGTTGATTAGTGATGTCTACCATGGGTAAAGGATATATTTGCCACGTCTGCTGTAGCCTCGACTTGCAGGTACTTCACCTGGCATGTTTCCTTACGGAGCATACCGAGTTAGCACCCACCGCCAGGGAGATGCCTCCCAGATATTTAGACATTTTCTTGGTCAACACCAATACAAAGAGTACCCTGCCCTTCATGCAGGCCCCCTCATTTGGTTACAATTTCTGGTCCGAGAGACTCATTTCTTTTCAAAGTAATGCCTCGGAGTCCTTCCACCCTCAGGTGCGAACCCCTCCCTGTACATGAGGGCGTGACTTTGCTTTTATAAGCTCATCAGTGTAACAGTGCTTAAGGCAGTCACATAGCAGGGATTACTATATACAGTGCAACGTAAGAGCCTGTGTTGGAGTACCCACCGTTATTTATCCTCTCACGTGCCACGTGTCCTGCTCTACGTTTTATTTATATTACCTCATTTAATCCTCACCCACGACCTTATGAAGGAGGTACCACTGACACTGTTTTGTAGATACAGAAACTGAGACACAGAGAGTTTATATAACTTGCCAACTCGTTGCAGGATTCAAACCGAGGTCTTTCTGGGCTCTTACACCTATGTTTTTCTCACTTAATCTTGACCGCAAGGAACTGCTACTTTGCCAGGCTAAATGGCCAAATCA